TAACTATGTGTGAGGGTAAAGGGGGGGAGGGAGATGTGTCAAAGACCAGGTGTGCTCAAGGGTTAAGTATATGCAGGTGGAACTTGGCGACTTTGAATAGCAATGATGATGGCTTTCCACCAGCACCTGAGCATAAAACACTCCTAGTGCATTGAACTAGAATTCAAAAGCAGAAGGAACTGCGTTGGGCTATCGGAGGAGGGCAGGTGCATTGTGTTCCTTCTTCTTTAGAAGGAAGCAAGTTGGGAAAATATCTGTGGATCAGGTCTAAGAAAGGTGCTGCAGCGCAATAGGCCAGCAATTTAGTTTTGTAGCCTAGTAGTGCAGAGCAAAGAACTTCCCAGGAAAGAGATCTTTGTAACTGGGAGCTTTGCCTTCAAAAGGCTTCTCTCTCCATTGTAATAGAAATGGCAAAGTAGGTTGACTAGTGAGAGGTGGTGGGGAATGTTTGCAGGAATAATCATTTGAGGAGTGGGATGTCAATTAGATCAGTAATTAGAGAAGGTTATCACAATTACAGCTTCTGATCTCTTGAGAAATTTACCTGCCCTTTTGTGTAATTAGGTGTGTCAGGTACCAGTTGTTACCTTAAAATGGGACCATGGCTTTTCTCTAGACAGAATTCTGTTTTTAACAGAACTAAGTAGTTCTTTGGAGTCAGATTGTGTTGTCTGTGGAGTTAAATGAAGTAATACACTCTTCCTGCTCAAGGATTTCCTTTCTGAAGGGGAAGCAACAAAGTCTCTTACCTAGTGGATGCTTATTGCTCTTGAAAGTAAAACTGGAAGCTCTAATGCGAAAACCACGAGATTGGGCTTTTTCTTTTTTAAATGCTAAAAACAAATGTCTGTCTTAATAAAACCAAAAGGAATGTCCAACTGCATCTAGCTGGTCGGGGATAAAACCTTTGGTAAGGAAGAGCAGCCTGAAAGAGTGTCTAACATACATTCGTTATGACTAGCATGTATTTCAGACTGGCAGTGGATAGTCTTAACTGATTCCAAACCACATATGTTGCATTTAAAGTACCTCCTCGCATTTTTTTAGTTTGTCATGTGGCCTTGGAGTTAGCGCCACCAACAGAAACAGCTGAAGAAGTTTCCGGTTTCTAAATGCAGAGAGTTGTTTTACTTTCATGTTTTAGGACAGGGGCGGGTGGGCTTTGTTGATTTGTTCTGTGTAAACAGAATTTGCGGAACGGGGAGCTGCTGGAAGGATCAGGAGGCAGAATAGTTGTAAGCAATCATTGTCAAGGGTAGTGGGCCAGAGTGTAGCATTTCCTTGGTACTAGTGCTGTTTTAGGGTCCCGGTCCTGCCTCTTTCCCACAGGATTCGGCCCTTAAGTGCTCTGTCTGTTTATGATGGAACCTCACTAATTATGTTTAGATCCAGGGCAATTTAATGAGGGTTGCTGTTAGCAACCCTGTGGGGATGACTCCAGACCCTGAGATGTCAAGCTTTCCTCTGACCGTTCCAGGAGCACCAGGCACTGTCTCTCCGCACAACGGCACCTTTTTTGTTTTGGTACTTTAGTGGCTCCCATCACCATGGTATCTGAGTGCCTCATGGTCTTTAATGTATTTATCCGTCTAACCCTCTTGTGATGCAGAACTCTGCTATTATCCCATTGTACAGGTGGGGAACTGAGGCATAGGAGAGACTCAGTGACTCTCCCAAGGTCAAGCAGGAGATCTGCATTGTAGCAGGGATCCTGACATTCACAAAGCCCTTAAATAGAGCTGCTTGAATGTCCTCCTGTAGCTGCTGTAATTGAGTTTGGGAGACAGTGCCAGGGTGCCTTACATGCTCTTGTGGCTCTGCTCTGTCTCCCAAAAGGGAGGGGAAATTAAGATAATCCTAGTTCATAGCCTGTTACTAGGATAACCACCGTAAGATGTACTGGAAACTGAACTCTGGGGCCAGCAGGAGTGCAGGCCAGAAGAGCAGCAAGAGGTACTGACAGAACACTAGTTGAAGTTAGTTGTGGCACAGATAAAACTTGACGACAAAGGGGAGAAGGGCAGTAATGGGACTGAAGGTTAGAGACCTCCAAGGAAGCCCAGGGTGTGGCAGGAACTCTCTTTGTAGTATTTCTTTTGTCATGCCCATCACCATGGCAGACAGCGCTCCCCCTTCTGAACTGGCACTGAATCAATGCCCTAGAATAATACCAGGGAGTTCTGTGCTGTTGGAGGGTGCCAGATTTCTGATGAAAGGTCCTGTAGTGCTTGTCACAAGAGTTAGGAGTGGTGACCTATGTTGGTCAGGTTTTTGGAGTTATTACAGTCTGCGTTCCTGAAATTCCACCTCTAGTTTTGAGTGGATTCTCAGCTGGTGTACGTTGTCATAGCTCCATTGACCTCAGCTGAGGCTGTGGATCAATGTTCTTCACTTCCCATCCTAAACATTTTGTCACCCCTGTTTAAATGGCTGCCAGCGCTCATCCCAGAGACAGCTGCATTTCAGTGATGGAGAGAGCAATTCCTGGAAGTTTGGAGAGTGCTTCTGAAGCTTGGTGGCTGAGGAGCTGTGTCAATGTGAGTTGCTGCTAACGTCCTCTCCATCCATGAGTCACTCTTTCCTATAATGAATGGAAGCATTTTTAAAATACGAGTTTAAATAAACTTTAAAAACTTTAGTTAATCATTTTCCTCATACATTTGTGCATAATGAAACCTTTCTGTTCAGTAATACATAGCGACAGCAATGTGGCCTCGGGGCACAATGAAAGGATCCTGTTATTATCAGTGCTCTCTGTGCATGAGTGACAGCCTCATGCAGAAAAATGGGAGATTTGCATTCACTGCCAGCCCTCCACCTCAGCACATACAAATGGAAGCTGGTGTGCAGGGAATGCTATTAAAATGTTCTGCTAGGAGAGCCAAGGCCTCCCACACCGATCATACTTACCAGGAAACAAGAAAGCTGATTTAACCTTTTCCTGACTTTTTAGCCCTTTTAATCCTCCCAGCCTTCTGAGATGTCCGCTGATGCCCTTTGCTGGGCAGCATTATGAATTTGTGATGTCCCTTGATTTTTCACTGTCCTTGCTGCTTGTTCCGCTTCTAAGTGTTGCTGGTAGGGGCTGGGGAGGATTTGCATTTAATCATTAGCACAACAGGTGCCCTTGTGATGAAAATAGATTTAGGAATTGTGGCTGTATTATCAGGATGGGTTAGACTACCGTCTGCCCCCTTTAATTATGGTTTGGCTTGTTAAGATCTGAATCCTCGATTGATTTTTCTGGTGTATGCTAACATTCTAAACTGAAAATTACTCCTGATATCTCTCCTACCCACACCCTGCCAAAGTGACATCTCTCTTTACCTTTCTGCCAGTTTTCAGCTATCAGTTTGGGACAAGCTCTGCTTGTGCCTTTATTTCTTCTTTGTTAAATACCCACAAATGTACTGGAGCTTTGAACGGGCTCAGTGAGATATTAGTTGGTCGTCTTCAGCACTGGAGAGTAGATTCTTGTAACGTTTCTATTGCCAGTGCAGCCTCTCTAGTGGATGCACTTAGTACCAAAGACAGTAAGTAAGATTTCAACTCACGCTACGAGGGTTGATGTGTGACTCCCTAATCGTGGCTCAGTTGCATTTTCATAATGGCCATAGGGTGCCTATGACAAAGCAGTTCATAAAAGTGGTGTATTTTTTATTTATTAGCATTGTGGTGTCACCCAGGAGCCCCTGTCACAGACCAAAACCTGATTGTGCTAGGCGCTGTACAAACACAGAACAAAAAGGTGGCATATCTTTGTTGTCTCTGCTTATTAGTAGCAACTCTCTCTACTGGGTGCCAGCTAGGACGTGCTGAAACAGGTTTCTATCTGGCTGGTTTCTGAAATTGGGTTACTACTTTTATTGTGGGAATTGCATGCGGAGCATCTCAGATCTTCTCCTTGTTTAGGTAAGATGTAAGATTTGTTTTCACTGGTGTCTAAACTGGGTATCTTGGGCCAAATTCATATTGGTGGAAGTTAGTGGCATTTCACCAAGAGTGACTGTGGTCCCTTATGATTGATTGAGTTTGATCAGAGTAATTTTAAGATCCCACAGGTTGAAAGTTTGCCCTTTACAATGTAAAGGTGAATATCAAATCAATAATTCAATGTAGCATGTCTTTATGATCCTCATGATCATGTCTTTTTATGGTTTGTTTGCTACTTATGATAAATAATACTCTTTTTATACAGAGCATCAACATGTCCTAAGAACATCTATCATATATGGAAAACACAGATCAGTTATTTAATTCCCCACCCCCAGGCTTGTTTTATAAGGCCACCTAAATTCAGACAAAAGGTGGTCATGGGAAAGCAGAGGTTGCCAATGCAGCAAGTTGGAGGTATATAATGCATGCCTGCATTTGGTCATAAGTAAAATTAGGCTGACCACATAAAGCTAGTTCCTCCCTGCCCCCCATCCCGCCCCCCCCCACAGTCCCCCTGAGTGTTGCTTGTCCAAATTGCAAATCCTTCATGCAATTGTATAACATGATCAGTTTTTAATTCAGATGGGGCCCAAGATGAGAATGGGGTATTTCGACTCTAATATGTAGTAATAGTAATAATTTGTAATTTTATAGTGCCATTTATCTAAGGATCACAACATGCCAAAAACATATCCATTTTACAGGTGGGGAAACTGAGGCATGCAAAGTTTAGTGACTTGTCCAGCGTGTCACAGTGCATCAATGGCAGAGGCAGGAATAGAAAATATGATTAATTGACTGCTATTCTCTGTTCTGACTGCTAGACCACACAGCTTTTATCAAGTCCTTTGATAGAACTGCCCTGCAGAAAGCTGTGCATGTCTCATGAATCCTGTCAGTTCCTCAGGTTTGTAAGTACTACACAGGAAGGTGTTAGACAAGTAATAGTGAATCAGAATGCTGATGATTTTGACTGTACAGCTGCTTTTAGTAAATGTCTTTATCGTTTTATAGCTTAGTAAAGTGTCATTTTTGCCTCGTCTGACGCTGTTGCTCTCTTGTAGGCATGGCAGAGTATCAGCAGCGCAGAGGTGATGACAGAGACTGATGCTTATCCAAGACTCTTCCAGCTTGTTTTCAACTATGGCTGTTGATTCTCCATATTCATTGGATGGTAATGCAGGATGTCAAGAGCAGCGGTAAGAGGTCAACTTGATCCCATTGTGTTTTTGTCGCCATGACAACACCACAACACGACTAGCAACAGCCAGTTAACCAGCGACAAAAGGAGAAGGTCGGTGATTGATTCTAATTGGGCCAAAAGTTGCATTTGAAACAAAAAGGCTGGAGGCAGCCATCGTCACGACAAGAAGATGAAATTTCCATTCTACTGGCCCCTTATTAAGCAGGCACAATAATCTTTTCTTTTAGAGACTTGCTAATAAAAACTGTTTTGGTTATGGCTACTGATCCAACGTGATTGGGCGCGCACCGATTCTCAGACTCATGACTGGGTATACCATGTTGCGGAATGGGGGAGTGGGGAATGGCGGCCAACCCTGGGTGTTACGATGGTCCAGTCGGATCCGGCTCACCTGGCTTAGCTTTACCCTGTTCATCATCCTCGTCTTCTTCCCCCTCATCGCCCACTACTACTTGACCACCATTGATGACGCGGATGATGCTGGCAAGCGCATCTTCGGCCCCCGCACCGGAAATGAGCTGTGTGAGGTGAAGCATGTCCAGGACCTGTGCCGCATCCGTGAGTCAGTCAGTGAGGAGCTGCTCCAGCTGGAGGCCAAGCGACAGGAGCTCAACAGCGAGATCGCCAAGTTGAACCTGAAAATCGAAGCCTGCAAGAAGAGCATAGAAAACGCCAAGCAGGATCTCCTGCAGCTGAAGAATGTCATCAGCCAGACTGAGCATTCCTACAAAGAACTGATGGCTCAGAACCAGCCAAAGCTCTCCTTGCCAATCCGGCTGCTGCCAGACAAAGATGAAGCTAACTTGCCTTTGCCAAAATCCAACAGGAACTGCAGGCTGTACAACTGCTTTGACTACTCACGCTGCCCACTGACGTCTGGCTTCCCAGTGTATGTCTACAACAGTGATCAGTACCCTTTTGGTAGCTCCTTAGACCCTTTAATTAAGCAAGCCTTTGAGGCAACCGTCAGAACTAATGTTTATGTTACTGAAAATGCAAACATTGCTTGTGTGTATATAATTTTAGTGGGGGAAATGCAAGAGCCCATAATGCCAAAACCTACTGAACTGGAGCAACAGTTGCACTCTTTGCCATATTGGAGGACTGATGGACACAACCATCTCATCATTAATTTATCGAGGAAATCGGAAACTCAGAACTTTATCTATAACATCAGCACAGGGCGTGCCATGATTGCCCAATCCACCTTTTATGATGTACAGTATCGGCCAGGCTTTGATATTGTGGTATCGCCTCTAGTCCATGCAATGTCCGAACCCAACTTCCTAGAGATTCCACCCCAGGTGCCAGTAAAGCGAAAGTACCTATTCAGTTTCCAGGGAGAGAAAATAGAGTCTCTTCGATCCAGCTTGCAAGAGGTTCGTTCGTTTGAAGAGGAAATCGAAGGCAATGCCCCAGCTGACTATGATGATCGGATCATTACCACCTTGAAGGCTGTCCAAGACAGTAAGTTGGACTTTGTCTTGGTGGAATTCACTTGTAAGAACCAGCCTAAGGCAAGTCTGCCCACTGAGTGGGCACTTTGTGGAGAAAGGGATGACAGATTAGAGCTACTGAAGCTATCTACTTTTGCACTGATAATCACACCAGGGGACACCCATCTATTGATCTCTGCTGGGTGTGCTATGAGACTCTTTGAGGCTCTGGAAGTCGGAGCCATCCCAGTGATTCTTGGAGAGCAAGTTCAGCTGCCCTATCATGATGTGATCCGGTGGAATGAGGCAGCCTTAATCATACCAAAGCCACGTATCACAGAAGTGCACTTTCTTCTGAGAAGCATTTCTGACAACGATCTCCTTACCATGAGGAGGCAGGGCCGCTTCTTGTGGGAGACCTACTTCTCCACCTCTGACAACGTGTTCAGCACAGTCTTAGCCATCATAAGGACTCGAATTCAAATCCCGGCTGCTCCTATTCGAGAAGAAACTGCCGTGGAGATTCCTCACCGCTCTGGCAAAGCTGCTGGTACTGACCCCAACATGGCAGACAATGGTGACTTAGACTTGGGGCCTGTGGAAACAGAACCACCCTATGCATCTCCCAAATACCTTCGCAATTTTACTCTCACAGCAATGGATATCTACAGGAATTGGAATTCAGCTCCAGGGCCTTTCCATCTCTTTCCACACACACCCTTTGATCCCGTTTTACCTTCAGAAGCTAAGTTTCTTGGGTCTGGGACTGGATTTCGACCAATTGGAGGAGGAGCAGGTGGTTCTGGGAAAGAGTTCCAAGCTGCCTTGGGTGGCAATGTCCCAAGGGAGCAGTTCACAGTAGTCATGTTAACCTACGAGCGGGAGGAAGTGTTAATGAACTCCCTAGAGAGACTCAATGGACTCCCTTACTTAAATAAAGTTGTAGTAGTGTGGAACTCCCCCAAACTTCCCTCCGAAGACCTCTTGTGGCCAGACATCGGTGTCCCAATCATGGTAAGAAATACCCAAATGCTCAATTTGGTTTGACATTTTTACAGTGGGAAATAACGTAGACATTTTTATCAGTTCTGTAACTTGGCATGTCTGCCTAGTAATCCAACATTGTGCTGAAGTTTGTTGTTATGCTGTGGGCTTCAAACTGCTGTCAGGACCAGGATTTTCAAGAATAGGAGAGCCTAAAGTTAGGCTCCCCAATAAGTGACCTGCTTTCCAAAGTGCTGAGCACCTAGTGGCTCCCATTGAAGTAAATGGAAGATGCTGGGTGTTTGGCACCTTTTGGAAAAACAAGTTGCATATACAGGAGCCTAAATAGGAATTTTGGAGTCTGAAGTTAAATTCCTGTTTTTGATCTTTGCTCCAGCTGTTTGTTCATCACTGCTGTTGTTGTTTGAATCCAGTCATGCTTAGAGGAAAAATAAAAGGCTAATGCTTTACAAAAGTTTTAAAAAGAGGAGGAAGATGGCATTTAAATGCACAAACTAAATGTGTTCTTTGTGCCAAGGCAGTTCTGAATATAATAGCACTTTAGAGCGATTAGGACATTATGCATGCAAAAAGATTCATTGATTTTAATATTTCATTTTATTATTGTTTCTGACAAATAAATCCTTCTGCATATGTTTAAAAACCTTTAAGGTCCAAGCACAATAAGGAGAGAAGATTGCTCAGATAATTGCAAAATAAACATTCACATTAGTCCTCTCCAGTGCTTGAATTTTGGGAAATTCTTGCAACAGTTCTGCTTAAAAAGTGTTAACCCTTTCATAGTTGGACAGTGGGGGGTGGGGCGGATTTTCTCTTCTGACTTGCTAATGGGTGTCATTTGTGAAAGAAAAAATGTTTTTCTCCGGATCAACCTCTTTTCTATATTATTCTTGCCATTTTTCTCTCCTTGCAAATATTATTTTATTTATTATTGATGTAGTGCCAGAGGCCTGCTTGCACTTTACAGACCATTAGAGGACAGGGATCCTGGTGTGACAGATTTACAGTCTAAGGCAGTGGTCACCAAGTGGTCGATCGCGATTGACTGGTAGATCCTAGAGGATCTCCCAGTCAATCGTGATCTCTGGCAGTACAGCGTGGCTGCTGCTACGGCAGACTCCCTGCCTAACCCAGCCCCATGCCACTCGCGGAAGTGGCAGCGCAGCCAGGAGAGCAGGGGTCTCCCTCCACGCACTGCTCCTGCCCGCAAGCACCACCCCCGCAGCTCCCATTGGCTGGGAGAACTGTGGGGATGGTGCTTGCAGAGAGGGGCAGCGTGCTGAGCCACGTGCCTCCCCGCTCCCAGAGGCCGCAGGGACATATTGGTCCGTTCTGGGAGCAGTGTGGGGCTGGGATAAGCAGGGAGCCTGCCTTAGCCTCGCTACACCCGTCGCCGACCGGGAGCCTCTGGAGGTAAGTGCTGCCCGGCGGGAGGCCGCACCCCAATCCTGAGCCCCCTCCCAGAGCCAGCACTCCATACCCCCTTCTGCACCCTGAACCCCCTCCTGCACCCCAAGCCCCAGCCCTGACCCCCCTCCCAGAGCCCACACCCCCTTCCGCACCCCAATCCCCTGTCTCAGCCCATAGCCCCCTCCTGCACCGAAACTCCCTCCTAGAGCTTGCACCCCTCACCCCCTCCAGAACCCCAACGCCCTATCCCAGCCCGGTGAAAGTGAGTGAGGGTGGGAGAGAGAGGGCGATGGAGTGAGCAGGGAGGGGAGGGGCCTCGGGGAAGGGGCGGGGTAGATCCTGGGTTGCCCTTAAATTCAAAAAGTGATCTTGGGTGTAAAAAGGTTGGAGACCTCTGATCTAAGGAGTAAGATCTTTATAAGGTCATAAATCCTTTTAGAAAATATACCATATATACTTAGGTGCCTGAAGGCTTGTCTACAGGAACATTTACATCTATACTACGCACCTTTTAGCGACACAGCCATGCCACTAAAGGGCATGCAGCGTAGCTGCTCTTTGTCGGCGGGAGAGAGTTCTCCCGCCGACAAAAAACCAATTCCACCCTCAACGAGCGGTGGTAGCTTTGTTGTCAGGAGAGCTTTCCCGCCGACAAAGCTCTGTTCACACCGGTACTTTTCATCAGTAAAACTTTTGTTGTTCGGTGGGGGGGTTTCGCACCCCGGAACGGCAAAAGTTTTACCAATGAAAGTCCAGTGTAGAAAAAGCCTTAGTTTGCAGAGAGCTGGGGCGTGAATCTACCCCACACTAGCTTGCCATAGACTGCAACAATTGATATGTGGCAAGCTGGGGTGTGAATCTACCCCACATTAGCCTGCATGAACTGACTGCCCATGTGAACCCTGCTGATGTGCATTAACAGTTTAATATGCTTTGATGTAGTCGTTTCAAAGAGGACTAGATCAGAGCCCACTAACAAACTATTAAGGAGCATCAGCAGGGTCCACATGGGCAGTCAGTTCATGCAGGCTGATGTGAGGTAGATTCACACCCCAGCTTGCCACATATCAATTGTTCACGTACACGAGCCTTAAGTCTCATTGAAAGTCAATGGGACTCCTAATAGTGTGTAAACTTAAGTACGTGTGTAAGGCCAGGTCTACGCTAAAAAGTTAAATCAACCCAGCAACATCACTCAGGGGTGTGAAAATCCCCTGGGGAAGACGGTGCTAGGTCAATGGAAAAATTCTTCCGTCATTGTAGTTACCACCTGTCGGGGAGGTGGATGAACTACAGGGACAGGAGAACCCTTCTTGTTGCGGTAGTAAGTGGCTACGCTGAATCACTGCAGCTGCAATGATGACACAGTGCCGCTGTAGCAGTTTAAGTGTAGACGTAGCCTAAGTCTTTGCAGGAGGAGGCCATAAATTAGAAGAATATTTTTGAACTTCTTAGCCAGTCTGTTTCCTGACTTCATATTTAACTCGCATTGGGAGTCTGTCATAGTAGTTAGCTTTATAAAATCCCCCTTCTTCTGTGGGGCTAATGAAATAAGAGCATAAACCCAGCCAGCTAGCTGGAATTGAATCACAGAAGTGAAAGGTGGAGGAGGAGGGGAGAACCTTTCAAGCTGTACAGTTCAACCCTTTACAAGAGAAGAATATCCAAGAATATTGGATATTCAGATTATGAAGCAGCGTAGAATGTCTTTACTGTGGTCTATTGAGCACATAGCCCAGTAAATTCAGAGAGCCAAGAATTGGCCTTAATTTAAATTACACGTAGAAAATTGTGGTTTTTAACATTTCTCTCTTCCAATGCAAGCAATTACTAGCACTGTATGACTGCTAGGAACAGAGCAATAATACAGCTGTGCTAAAGCGATCACTGATCAAAGCACCTAAAACCAGAAGGCTATTGAAGTAAAGTAAATTACAGTGTAATGAGACAGAATGCAGCATGATTAGTATATTCTGGGCTGAAAGTCTAGCCACTGATAACCTTGAACGACAAGCCAATGGGTCAGCACATATTACAGGATGAAGGAAAGGATCCTGAAACCTGTGCATCCAGTGCAGAGAATTAGTAATGTTTGCTTCCATGTTGTGTTTTGTCACAGTTGGTCGAGAAGTCCTTCCCTCCCAGATGATCCCAAAAGTTCACCAGTCGTGCTGCTAGGGCAGAGTAAATAATTTACGGTGAATAATTTGTTGTGATATTTTCTGCTTGCAGAATACCTAGGAGAAGTTGCCATGTCCTTGAATTTATTCTGTCATTTTTTCCCCTGTATGGTTTGATCACAGACAGTTCATTGAGTGTTTGATGATTGGTATTTGGGCTGCGCTGCTTAATTGTGGTTGGTCTCACAAAGTCACGTGGTATAATTTCTGTTTCCCAATGGAGTGTAATTTACAATCAAGAGCAAGGCTTGAAGAAGCCTCTGGGGCTTTGAATCTTTCATGGAGAGGGAGAAGGCAAACAAAGTTAGGAAACACATTTTACTTTTAAACCTCTTCCTTTCTCTCTGAGCCATATATTCCATGCCTGAAGCAACATTCCTAGAAAAATCAGGGTACTCTGAGGTCTGTAGGCTGTGTGCAGAGCTGAAATTATATTTTACCTAGTCTCATTCATAGAGAGTGGGGGGGAGGGAGTGTGCATGTATGTTCCCATTTGGAAAGGATGTGATCAGATCCCCATGTAATTTAAGTGTGTCTGTGCCAGGCCTGTGGTGGGGACTTCGGAGAGATTGAGCCCTCTCTCATGGCAAAATAGTTCCCCATCCCATGTAAAAATACCATGTAAGAATTCTCATGTATGTGAGTGTAAAATATACTTCCTTCAAGTATTTGTATGAGTAGAACTGTGAATTAGCAGAATTTTCATTGAAAGTGAACTTGGAGGGGTATGAATTTGCCAAGGCAAATGCATCTAAAAATTTGATCATATTCAAACATCTTTCTGCAGTGTTTTCCCAGCCCTGAGTATCATGCTGTCTCTAGCATTAGGAGTTATCCAGCAAAATTGTCTGATTCATTTGGCTAAAGCCTAGTTTGCAAGAGGGATTAAACCTTTCTGGCAGCCATCAGCACTGATTCAGCTCTATTGCATTATCCTCTGTTTGTCAGAGGGTGGAGATGGATGGCAGGAGAGAGATCAGTAGATCATTACCTGTTAGGTTCACTCCCTCTGGGGCGCCTGGCATTGGCTATTGTCAGTAGACAGGATACTGGGCTGGATGGACCTTTGGTCTGACCCAGTATGGCCATTTTTATGTTCTTATGTTGTTAATCTTATGTTCTTAATCTTGCCACAATTTTTAACACCATGTCAGGTTGCACTTAGCCACAGAGAGTGCAACTGCTATTTCTCTGCTATGGGAAAAAATAAACACAGTCAAATTAGATCTCCTTGATTGGGAGATACTAATCATTCCTCTGACTTTAGGTAGGGTGCAGCCACTCTATGCCATTCAGTTAACTCCTGAAACAGGGACAAGTACATAATTTTTCTTACAGGTGGAACGGAAGCTAAGAACACAGGAGAGCTTTGGAGAGAGAGAGAGAGATTGATGATGAGTTAGCTTTCACACTCTACCC